AAATCTTATACACTTATACAAAATTTGCTTTACTTATATACCCTCGGCGGGGCATTTATATCCTATGGACATATTTTATAGTTTCTTATAACAAGGTCTTGCCTGACTTACACTAATTTTGACCTTGGAGTTTGACTCATTTTTTGAAAAAAATTAAATCTTTGTGATAACTATATTTTAAGGTTAGTGCTAGGGCTCATTTCAAATATACGTATATTTATTGACACATATCCTTTTTGGATATAACAGTATTTTTGATATCTTGACCTTGAAGTTGCATTTGAGAAACATCAATCATCGCAGTAAGCTGTCAAATTAGTCAAAGTACTCTAAAACTTTTGAATATTTTTAATATATGATAATATAATGACATAATATATATATATGTAATATATACATGACTTTGTTCACTATGCAGTATACATTTACATTATGTAACAGTGCAATTGAATTATACGTTTATCAAATATTATAGTATTTTCACTTTCCATAATTTTATAAAAGTTGTTTATGGAAAAAATATATTAAAATCATATTCATTGAAATCAACTCAATACAATATAAAGTTATCAAACTTTCCGAATATATATATATATATATATATATATATATATATATATATATATATATATATATATATATATATACTCTTAAAAAAAAAGAAACGCATAGTAGGAACAAAGCCCTGAAAATTTGTGATAGTTTTGTCATACCTTTAATTTTTGTATGGATACGATGTATTCGAGTAAAATGAATGATTTTTTATTGCAATTGTTAACTTTACAGCTATTCTACAAGTCTCACAGACAAAAAGACCTGATTTTGCAAAATTTCCCCCAAAATTTTGGTCTCAATTTTCATTTGTTAAATTCTGATGCTATTCCTTCAGGTACAAAGGGGCTATCAAAAGCGGGGGTTCTCGATATTTTGAATCTGGTTTAATCTGAAAAATGACGCTTCCTAAAATTGCTGCATCTGAATGGTGCGTGGCACAAAAAGGAAAATGGGCGACTGGAAGCAGGGGTACCGCAATCTACAATTGCAAGAGGTGTTAATGTTACACACAGACCATATCTAACCTATAAAACATAAATCATTAACATCGAACACCCAATGTTTGCAAAAAATATGGTAGACTACGTGTGGCATCAGCAGCACAGCATCACTTCCGAGGATCACAAAAATTGCATGAATGTAATGCAAGGACGTCATCTAAAGCATTAGCTATCCCTGAACTGCACAGATCATCTAACAAGACCATTTTCAGTTGACTACGAATTATTGCAAGAGGATTATTCATGCCATTGTTCCGACCCCACAACACCCCAAATATCGACTTCAAAGATCTCAGATGAATAGAGTATAACCACAGCATCACTGCTGAACATTTTGGTTAACCTACTAGTCCAGAATATTTATCTGAAAGCCTCTTATAAGTTTAAGAGTGCTAATGCTTTTTAATGAAGGTTAGATAGATAACTGCCTCCAGGACGTTAAAAAAGTTGGTGGTGGTAGTGTAATGATAAGGAAAATGGTATTATAAGAAAGTAGGATTGATCTGGTTCGAATTCAATGGACTTTGGTGGAAAAAGGCAATCTAACCATGTTCTACCTACACATACCCATTCAATTTTGCAGCATCGTAGAGCCGTATTGCAATCTCACAATACACAGCCACATATGGCTAGTTTGACACACCTATTCTTGCAAAGAAACATCAAGCTGTTTCAGTCACAGTCATCTAAATCGCTAGATTTATTCCAAATTAAGCAGCATTGGACAAAATGGATTGACATGATTTGCCAAAGACAACCGCATCCCCAGACTCTGCAACAGCTGACTTAAGTTCTACATTTGGAGTGGGAGAGTATTCCTATACAGTTTTTATTGCACACATTTGCTTCCATTAAATGCCGTTTGTGGCTATCATTTGTGTCTGCGGGGGGCATACCAGATATTGATCTTTAATGGTCTTAAACTGACTATAATTTTAAAATTGATAAGAGTAATTATGACATTTAGATAGTATTCCTGTTGCTTACCACATTTATGTTTTATCAATGCATCATTTTACTAAATAATCTTTATGTTCAATGTGTAACAAAAATTCTACGATGCGTTTCTTTTTTTGAAGAGTATATATATATATATATATATATATATATATATATATATATATATATATATATATATATATATATAAACATATATGTTGAAAAGTTAAATTCTTGGTACAGTAAAAATACTTAAATAAATAAAAACAGAATGCTGCAGTTATAACTGTATAAAGATAACTGTATGAAGAGCCAACATGGCCGAAAGCGCTAACAGTAAAGACTTTATTGAATTTGGACTGCAGCATTCTGTTTTTATTTATTTTAGTATATACATATATATAAAAAGACAGATAAAACATTATCAGTAGCAAGAATGGACTCTGTAAACATGAAATATCACAAACTGTAAATATCTTTTCATCGTATTTCTTTTTGAAAATAAAAGAAAAATGTGAACTTTCTTATCACCCTTTATATAAACTTTAACTAATGACTGACAGTCTACTAGGATATTTATAACTCTACATTAATAGTTATAAAGTGATCATTGGAAATAGCATAAAAGGTAATTAAAATATATATAGATTAATGTATATGCTAATAACTGCATCTGTTTCACACTTGTTTCATATGCATGCAATTAATTAAAAAAATAATTACAAAAACGTGCATGAAGTTGATCTTCAATATGACGTTTCAAACTGGCACCGGTTATTCGAATTGTTGCTAATTAAATCAGCTTACCAAAAATGAAATTTCGATTTTTGGTTTATTCAGAAAACAAAATGTGAATTACATCATGTATAGCGAAGTAACAAAACGAGGAATGAATGACCCTAACATCTATTCACCAAGCAAAGATTCTCCTAACAATCACATGTCAACAGTCTGGTGTTCTTTATGATCAGTTGTAACTTTTTTGTGACTTCGAAATAGATAATTGCACATTCTCTCATAAATGTTAATAACGGATTCAAATCAATTATATGCTAGCACACATTCTTCAAAAATACTACTGAAATGATGATAGTAATACATTATTTATAATAAATCTTATAATAAAAATGAAATATTGTTAGATAGAGATCTGTACACAAAAATTACAAAGTTCTAGATTCTTTGATTACAATATCTGCCTAAAGCAAGCATGTCCATTTTCACCCAGAAATATTGTGGAAATGAAGAATATATTCGTATTTTCATACAAAAAGGCTTAAAAATTCTACAAAAAGTCACATGAAATGCACATATTCCTTATATGTTATTATATTTATATGTTTATATCATTATATAATATTATAATTATATTATAATGTTTATATATATATATTATATGTTTCTTAAATACAAGATAAAATATAAAAAAGACACTAACAATGTTTAGAACAATATAAAGACATTCTGTCTTCCTAGTAAACATTGACATTGTTAACGAAGGAAATAAAGAAGAGATTATTTTAAGAGAATAGGAAAAAGATACAAGGTTAAAAAATGTATCTTTTAAGGAAAAGAAAGTACGACAATGCATAAGAAACAAAACTACGGGTAACACATGTTTGCAATGAAAACTAGATGCTGTCATGAAATAGTAATTAATACCCGCATTAAGATGTTTATGCACGATCCTACATATTGGGCGGCTTTCCAATGAAAAAGTCAAAAGAATTCTATAATTTACACGGAACATATTCGTCCATTGAGTATGAAATTCTCAGACCCTGTGACCATGTGACATATGACTCAGAACCTCTTATATGTATTTTACATGCTTAATTCATTACCAGTTTGAATTTAATTAATGATGTAAATAAGATTTTGATAAATGTTTTGCTCATAATAGGACATTTTAAAATTTACTAATGCCCCCCCCCCCCCTCGACATCACAGACACACGGCACGTACTTTTTTGGAATAGGCTAGATGGAACAGTTTTGTTAAACATTGTTTGTTATGAATTAATTTAAATTTGATCTTCTACTATACATGTTTACATGTAAACACCTTTTGGAAAATTTCTATATCACATTGGGTTGCGTCACCCATTATCATATTTTTAGATAGATAACAATTCGGCACACCTCGGCCGATTCCAACTTCATTTGAGAAGGCGACGGAATCGACCAGGTTTGCCGAATGGGATAGCACTTTCACATGATGCAGTCTGGTGTGCATCGGATTAATTCATTTTGTATTATAATCGGATTATATTTCATGAAGTTGAGAGGACCTATGACAGTCGGTAAGTACAAGTTTAAGTATGGTAGGGGTAAAATAAACCAAATGCAAATGATTAGGTTAAAGTTCAAAAATGGACAAAGATCATCGCATGCAATACTAGACGAATTTCATATTGTGAAGTTATCTCCCGTTGTTGATATGACATTCAGTTAGTGCAAATACTGGTGCAGATCCAGAGTTTTTTTGTCGGGATTGGGGAGGGAGTTTCACATCTCAGTCAAAAAATTCCAGCCTAGAATTTCCTGACAAGCAGGAAAAAAAAACTGAAAACAAATTAACAAAATAAAAACAATATAAAACACGAATATGTTGGTCATATCTCTGCATGAAAAAACAGCTTTTCAAATACTGTAACGATTGCAACTCTTTCAAAACATTCATTTGAGCTTTTCTGGTTTCCTTATCATATAACGTCTGTCGTCCATCTGTTTGTCTGAAACTTTTTTTTTTACATTTATAACTTCTCTAGAATCACATAGAAAAATGTGCATTTGTATGCCAGTCTGTCCATCTGTATCAATAAATTTAGCCTTGGTCATCACGGTCATATCTATTGAATGAGAAGAGACAAGGCAAACAAGACCCAACAAAATGACCGTTTTTAACAACATGTAGTTGTTGTAATCACAACAGAACTTATACATGTTCTGTATTGAGCTAACAACCGAACTTCAAATTTAAATGAGATGTCCTAAAATTTGGTATCTAAAACAATTTTTTCTTTACATATTTGGGAAAATGTGTCACTTTTTTTCTTTTTTGTCCTCGCTCGGGTACAGAAACAGAACTTTCCGGATTATTTTCAACACTAGAGTTAGTAGATTCACGGATACTGGAACTGCCAATGACCTCTAGTAGACGAGGATAAGCCTTGACTAAATGGTTATATATATCTACATTTCCGGTCAAAATACATAATTGAAGCACGGTTTTCCAATCATTTCTTTTAGTTTCGATATCAAATCCTTTTCCCAACAGAAATTTAAGTAAATCAAGGTTACCTCCCAACGCTGCAGCATGTAAGGCATTTCCTCCATTATTGTCTTTGACATCTAGTAAATAAGGATAAGTATTGACCAAGTACTTGCACATATCTAGCTGTCCGCCCATACAACACAGATGAAGCACAGTTTTTCCATCATTTCTTTTGGTTTTGATATCTAAGCCTCTTTCCAACAGAAAATTGAGTAAATCAATGTTACCTCCCAAGGCTGCATCATGTAAGGCATTCTCTCCATCATTGTCTTTGAAATCTAGTAAATGAGGATAAGTATAGACCAAGTACTTAATCATCTCTAGTTTTCCATTCATACAGCACTGGTGAAGCACAGTTTTCCCATCATTTCTTTTGGTTTTGACATCAAAATCTTTCTCCAACAGAAAATTGAGTAAATCAATGTTACCTCCCCAGGCTGCTTGATGTAAGGCGTTCCCTCCATTATTGTCTTTGACATCTAGTACATGAGGATAAGTATTGACCAAGTACTTACACGTCTCTAGTTTTCCGTTCATACAGCAATAGTGAAACGCATTTTTCCCATCATTTGCTTTGGTTTTGACATCAAAACCTTTCTCCAACAGAAAATTGAGTAAATCAATGTTACCTCCCAAGGCTGCATCATGTAAGGCATTTCCTCCATTTTTATCTTTGACATCTAGTAAATGCGGATAAGTATTGACCAAGTACTTACACATATCTAGTTTTCCGTTCATACAGCACAGGTGAAGCACAGTTTTCCCATCATTTCTTTTGGTTTTGACATCAAAACCTTTCTCCAACAGAAAATTGAGTAAATCAATGTTACCTCCCCAGGCTGAAGAGTGTAAGGCATTTTCTCCATTATTGTCTTTGACATCTAGTAAATGAGGATAAGTATTGACCAAGTACTTACACATCTCTAGTTTTCCGTTCATACAGCATAGGTGAAGCACAGTTTTCCCATCATTTCTTTTGGTTTTGACATCAAAACCTTTCTCCAACAGAAAATTCAGTAAATCAATGTTACCTCCCCGGGCTGCAGCATGTAAGGCATTTCCTCCATTATTGTCTTTGACATCTAGTAAATGAGGATAAGTATTGACCAAGTACTTACACATTTGAAGTTTTCCGTTCATACAGCATAGGTGAAGCACAGTTTCTCCATCATTTCTTTTGGTTTTGACATCAAAACCTTTCTCCAACAGAAAATTGAGTAAATCAATGTTACCTCCCCAGGCTGCATCATGTAAGGCATTTCCTCCATCACTGTCTTTGACATCTAGTAAATGAGGATAAGTATTGACCAAGTACTTACACATCTCTAGTTTTCCCTTCATACAGCACAGGTGAAGCACAGTTTTCCCATCATTTATTTTGGTTTTGACATCAAAACCTTTCTCCAACAGAAAATTGAGTAAATCAATGTTACCTACCCAGGCTGCATCATGTAAGGCATTCTCTCCATCATTGTCTGTGACATCTAGTAAATGCGGATAAGTATTGACCAAGTACTTACACATCTCTAGTTCTCCGTTCATACAGCATAGGTGAAGCACAGTTTTCCCATCATTTCTTTTGGTTTTGACATCAAAACCTTTCTCCAACAGAAAATTGAGTAAATCAATGTTACCTCTCCAGGCTGCAGCATGTAAGGCATTCACTCCATTATTGTCTTTGACATCTAGTACATGAGGATAAGTATTGACCAAGTACTTACACATCTCTAGTTTTCCGTTCATACAGCACAGGTGAAGCACATTTTTCCCATCATTTCTTTTTGTTTTGACATCAAAACCTTTCTCCAACAGAAAATTGAGTAAATCAATGTTACCTCCCCAGGCTGCATCATGTAAGGCATTTCCTCCATTATTGTCTTTGAGATTAAGTAAATGAGGATAAGTATTGACCAAGTACTTACACATCTCTAGTTTTCCGTTCATACAGCATAAGTGAAGCACAGTTTTCCCATCATTTCTTTTGGTTTTGACATCAAAACCTTTCTCCAACAGAAAATTGAGTAAATCAATGTTACCTCCCAAGGCTGCACCATATAAGGCATTTCCTCCATTTTTGTCTTTAAGATTAAGTAAATGAGGATAAGTATTGACCAAGTACTTACACATCTCTAGTTTTCCGTTCATACAGCACAGGTGAAGCACTGTACCCCCATCATTTCTTTTGGTTTTGACATCAAAACCTTTCTCCAACAGAAAATTGAGTAAATCAATGTTACCTCCCCAGGCTGCATCATGTAAGGCATTCTCTCCATCATTGTCTTTGACATCTAGTAAATGAGGATAAGTATTGACCAAGTACTTACACATCTCTAGTTTTCCGTTCATACAGCACAGGTGAAGCACATTTTTCCCATCATTTCTTTTGGTTTTGACATCAAAACCTTTCTCCAACAGAAAATTGAGTAAGTCAATGTTACCTTCCCAGGCTGCAGCATGTAAGGCATTCCCTCCATTATTGTCTGTGACATCTAGTAAATGAGGATAAGTATTGACCAAGTACTAACACATCTCTAGTTTTCCGTTCATACAACATAGGTGAAACACAGTTTCCCCATTATTTCTTTTGGTTTTGACATCAAAACCTTTCTCCAACAGAAATTTGAGTAAATCAATGTTACCTCCCCAGGCAGCGTAATGTAAGGCATTTCCTCCATTATTGTCTTTGACATCAAGTAAATGAGGATGAGTGTTTACCAAGTATTCACACATATTTAGTCTTCCAAACTTACAAGCTTCATGTAATGGTGTACTTCGGCCCTCAAGGAACGTTTTCTTTACACCTTTTTCTATCAAGTATTCATATAATTCTATACTTCCTGATTGACCTGACCAGTGTAATGGTGACATGCCGTCGAAGGCATTATATTCTGGTGAAAGCAACTTTGGATATGTGTCACAGATATACTTGACCATGCTTAATTTGCCGTTTTGACAAGCATTATGAAGAATAGTGCCACCATAATTAGCTCTAGTGAATGGGTCACTACCTGAGATAATTAATTGTTTAAACATTGTTTCGTCCCCAGCAAATGCTATAAAATGAAGAGAATTCTCACCCTGGTTATCTTTAACATCAAGTAGATGTGGATAACGTGCTAGAACTGGCTTAATTAGGTGATTTTGGCCAAAAATGCAAATTTCGTGAAGCAAACTGCATTCTAAATTATTCCACTGGACATTATTTGTAAACGTTATTTTGCTTAGGTCTACATTATCAGTGAAGCGAAAAAGCATGTCTAAATTTCCACTTTGTACGGCATAAAAGCACGTTTTTAAGTTGTACTTTACATCAGTAGCTAGAAGCAAATCGACAACATTTTTTTGATTGTGTGCACATGCTTCATTTAAAGACATATATCTTTGTTCCTGGGAAGAAAAGGGCAATAGATATTTAACCCATGTAACATTTCCAGACACACAAAAATAAACTAACATTGTTTTCCCAAAACGATCAGTGTTTCCTTTCAGTCTATTTAACACACCTACACAATTTACACACTTGTAAATAAACTTCTCATCTTCCCATATTTGAAGACGGGAAATCGTTTGAAATGCAGAAATTGACCTTTCTTCAAGCATTTCCAGCAATCGATTGATTATGTCCTGGTAAACATCTTCGGTGATCACAATTGAGTTCCAAGACTGTTTCTTGTCAGATGTAAGCCGCTCTAGAAGGACATGGTCACAACACTTGATAACTCTTTGTGGGTAATATCTGACGAGGCATTTGAATAAACTCTCTTGTACAGAGCTATGACTGAACATATATTTTCTTTCAATTGTATTGAAAGTCATCAAAAATTCATGATAATGATGAACAGAATTTTGAAAATCCCTTAAAGATGACTCTTTGGATCCTATCATTTTCATAGCTTCTTCCTTCCGAGCTTTATCTTCTAGTGGTGTTTGCAACACATGTTCTTCCACATTTCCTCCACAAAGAAGTATATAGACTAAAACTGCTGTTTTGTTTTCCTTTCTATCAAGTATGTGTTTGATATACTTTTCTAAACTAAGAATGGGATTTTTAAAGAATTCTTGGACGTCTTCAGAAAATTTTGAATTATTTTTCAAGAGACTGCAACATTGGGGAATTCCAAATATTTTCCCAATTTGTCTAACATCAGATAATATGTCTGATGTTAGCAACTTATGAAGACCATACTTTTTAAATAATTCCAGTATTTCTGAGCTTTGAAGTTGAAAGTCCTTTGATATGTCAATCGAAGATTTATCCAAAAAACTTTTTGCATGTTCATTTATCCTCCCAATTGTTTCATTGTAAATATCAGTTCTGATTGTTAAAATCAAAACATTTCCTTTTCCAGCCTTATCAGTTTTGCACATTGCTTGAATTAAATGTAGTTTTGCATCAAAATTATCTACTTCATTTGACACTGAAAACTCCCCAAATAAATTATCTAAAAATAAAGCAACATTTGAAAATGGAGAAACGGATCCATAAAAATCTTGGACAGTCACCATCTGGAGTGGAAACATCCCCTTCTTCTGTAATTCTCTTAGGATGTGCATGGCTATCGTAGTTTTTCCAGATCCTGGGTTACCTCTTACAAGGACATATCTATTTGTCTTCAGTAATTCTAATACTCTTTGAATTGCGCTTATGTGCACAAATACATCCTTGATTTTAAGTTCTTGATTTTCTAAAGCAGCTCTTGTTGTATCTAAAATATTCCACAAATATCTTTAAATTGGCTTGAATACCCACGTAAAATAAACAAACAATATTCATCCATCTTTTTTCCTGTTAAATTTTTATTTTCACGGAGATGATAGGAATCATTTCTTACCTATCTTTGCTTTGATATTCATATCTGAAAAAAGGAAACATGTACATCTCAACTCACTTTTTAAGCTCACATGGTTTTTCGCACAAATTAAAGTCACTTTGTTATGATATGAGATTGTGTATCGAGACAACAAAATACATTTTAAAAGTATTTGTTTACATAATTTGAGTTTTAATTCATTTACTGAAACACAATTTACACAAATCAATTGGTAGAACTATGATATATTCATGGCTGAAAATTACAACTATTCTCAATTGAAATTTTTTGTAGTTTCTTGCCAATTGTAACTGCCTTTTTATTCGTTCTTTTGAAAGAAATAGCTCTTGGCAGAAACGTAGTAGACATGGGTACAGTACAGCTACTAAAACTTGTATTTTCTGTACATTTTGGTTTTTTTAACTCGGGGTGGTAATAGTATTTTCATCTGTTTGACTGCTTTCTATGTAAATAAGGTGGGATTTTTAAGACTCAATTTCTAAAATATAGAAGCATGAAAGATTCATATAACTGCAAAAGTTTAACTTTTTAAACCGTAAATGCAGAAGAATTTTCTTTTTCATAGAAGGAATTTACCATTCAATAAAGTAACCAATACTTTATTATCCTACCTTTTAGTGTGGTTTCTTTTTTTGCAATATTATCCCTTTCCGGTGCTACATTTCGACGAAACCAAGAGGAGTGTGGTAAATGAGCAAAGAATTAAAAAAAATACTCACCTTTATGAAGAAAAAAAAATCAACTACATGGGATCAAGGAATGCTCGATTTATACAATTTGTAAAAACCTATGGTAGAATCGTATAGTCGAAACATCCTACCGTATATTTATAAATTTTCTTTTAAAACATCCACGTTGGAAACTTTAGCTAATGATTTAAAAAGACATTTATGCTTGGCATTAGATATTTAATACATTGTATAACTAAGGTTTATGCCATTGTACTGCAGTTCGAAAATGGTAATTTTTATTACAACAATGTGACCTGAATTTGTGGGAAAAGCCATGTGAGCTTAAAAAGTGCGTTGAGCTGTATATTGCATATGTCAATTTCGCAATTATATGGAAATATGAGGTCAGTAATTTAACAGATATCACAATGCATATTTACAATACTTTGTTGATAGTTGAACAAAACAAGAGGCCCAGGGGCCACATCGCTCACCTGAGTAAAAGACCTTTACTTGCAAGAATTATACATGTAGATGTTAGAGTATGGACTTCCTCGTTCTATTCATTTACTGTAATTGGGCTTGATCTAAGCATAAAATTACTAAGAATGGCTTTCTTTTCAACCAGTGCTTAATGCCCAACTTATTATCAATTGAGTCAAAAAGAGGTCAGTCTCAGTATTTCTGCAGAATATAACACTTGTACTATCAACTCTTAGGTGTAATATGCTTTTAATGAACAATAACATTTCTTTCCTTTCTTTAAGGGGGGGGGGTTAACATTAGTTATGATACATATAATAAAACAGAAAATGTGAATAAGATTTTACTTTTATTTCTTTACAACATTGAACAGATTTGGTGAAAATTTATCAGACAATTAGTAGATAATATAATAAAAACTAAGAGTTAATAACAATCAACTATCTAAATTTTATAAGACTTTAACAGACATATATGCACACAGTATCAAATATGCAATATTCCAACAATTTTGTGACAGAAATGCAAAACTTCCAGACAATAACATTACATGTAAACATAGATGCTTTATTTGTAAACATTTCAAACATTTGTTTAGAGGAAAGTTGAATACATCAAAGTAATCATTTGAAAGATGCGAAATACACTGTATTCATTTTTTAGTTCACTTAATAGTAAATCTTTCCTATACATAACGAAAGCGAAAATTGGAAAGATTGCAACTGAAAGTGAATAATTATTTGAAGGTCAACGGAGTCTGACTTTGAATATCAACTATTATTTTAAAAGAATTTTTAATTGGAGTACCTGCAGGAATCAGATTACCTAAACTTGATCTTTTTGCAATCAATAATTTTGATTTCAAAGACCAGTCATGAGAAATCATAGTGATCCACCTTTTTTTCCTCTTTTATAGGAAAAATTGTAATGTTATAAAAAGGTAGGTTTACCTCCCTTTACGGGCTGTCCATTGACCCCCTCTTTTCATACTTACCTGGGTATATATTAATGTTTAATATATAGTAGATTCTCATTAGAATATAATATAATGGTGGTCACATATTAAATATCTCAATGCTGGAGAAAATGAAATCAATTAATATGGAGTTAACTGAAATCGGCAAAATACTAGAAACTTATAATGAGTTGTCAGTTTCTCTCTGATTATGCAGGTTGCTTTCCTATTCTACACAGGTAACTAAAGCTAGTAAAAGTAAATGTTTAAAGCAATTTTTGAATGTTTTAAAATACAATAACCTCAAACATTTTAAGACAAAGGATCAAAAAGATAAATAATCAAGTCAAAATATTTCAGCACAAAGTTTCATATATACCATGAACATTATTTCAAAACAATTTTTAATGATGCAAATGATATATATCAACAAAAAAATCTCTAACTGAGCTGTGCTTTTAAAATGTATCATTCTAATTCAGTTGCAAGAAGGATATGGAAATAACGAACAGTATTCAATCTCAACGTCCATTAAACAAATATACAAAATAAGAGCAGAGCAAACACGGACCTCCGAAACATCAGAGGTGGGATAGACAAGTCACTCTAAACAAAAATAAGTAAGTATGCTGGATGGTCATGATCATTAAACTAATTTCTGAGAGCTTTGTATAAAACTATAGATAATGGCTTTAAATATAGTGTGTGAACATTTGCAAGTATCTCATTTTTAAGTGCATCAAATGGTTAATTTGTTGACCACCCAGCCTGTTTAAAGCCTTAGCAATACTGCATGAGGTTGATTATAAAGTAAATATAGAAAGACTTGAATTACATGTATGATAAGAATATTGACAATGAAATTGTTATTACATTTGCTCTGAAAAAAATATTAATTCATATACACTGTAAAAGTTTATACTAGTTCTCATGTACTCCAGTATTGTTATGCAGGGACTAAATGACACAAAACACAGTAATATTAATAAGCTTGCAATATTTCTATACAGCAATTTTTTCATGAACAGATAATATGCGGTGAATTTACTTCAAAAACTATAGAGTACAATGTTGAACATATATCAAAGATACCAATTACTTGATGCAAATGTATATTTCTAATACAACTATAATCATTATTTAGCAAAACTAATTAATTTCTTGAAATTAAACTTTGTAAACAATTCAAGTAATCTCAAAATGTTCATGTATATTCAAAATATCAAGTTCATGATATTCATGTATCATTAAAGAAAAGAATCTTAACAGTAAGGGTAAAACTAACTCACAAACATCAATACAGTATATACATAATTTATAAATATTAACACATATTACAATGATCATCATTTTTTGACATGAATGATTGTCATTGATGGTACATAAATTTTCCTTAACAAGCAACATGAAATTATGTAATGGTTATAAGCCGAAAACTGTCCATTATGTCAGATATTAGACGACCCGAG